TCCAGGGTGCAGAGCTTTTCTTTCTGAGGTTGTTTTTTTTTTGGGGGGGGGGGGGGGGGAGTGTGAAGGGAGGTGGTCTGTCACTGATGTTAATTGCAGGGGGTTTGTATTAATAGAGCAGTGATAGTTGCTGCCACCTAGTGAGCACTAAAATAAAAGAAACAGAGCTGAGATGAAAAAGCGAATAATACACTGGTGAACTCGGCTGGCTTCCGTTGAACAAGCTCCTTGTGTGACCTGTGGAGGCATCCTCCAAGTTCTGCTGATTATTTTACTCTTATTTTTCTTCCTTAGCATGCTTGATAAAACACAAAGATGAAATACACTCATTTCACAGTTTATCACGCAATCACAGAATGGTTTGGGTTGGAAGGGACCTTAAAGCTCATCCAGGTCCAGCCCCCCCCCACACCTTCCACTAGACCAGGTTGCTCCAAGCCCTGTCCAACCTGGCCTTGAACACTGCCAGGGATGGGGCAGCCACAGCTCCTCTGGGCAACCTGTGCCCGTGTCTCACCACCCTCACAGGGAAGAACTTCCTAATATCTATCTTACCTACCCTCTGTCAGTTTAAAGCCATCCCCCCTTGTCCTGTCACTATATGCCTTAAAAAAGTCCCTCACCAGATTTCTTGAAGGGCTACTTTAGGTCCTGGAAGGCTGATGTAAGGTAGCCCTGGAACCTTCTCTTCTCCAGGCTGAACAATGCTGGATATATATGCTGGATATATTATTCTAGATAAAAATAATTAAATATGAATGTCAAGTATCTAAAATTCAGTCCTAGTTTACTTAACAATGGTAATTTTTATTTTTATTTTTTTTTTAAGCAATGAAACTATTTTCTGTTGCCATAAACTAGAAGTCTATCCAGAGAAACAAAGCCATTTGTTCCTGTGGACTTGGTAAGAGAGAAAGGTGACTTGGTCAATAGAACAAGCAAACAGTTGTATTAATCATGATAGACTGATTTTCCTCTGAAACACTAGTAATAAATACGTGGTTGTGATGGTATACTCTTCCCTTGGCTGGTGAAGGTCCCTTGACTAAATTACATTGTCTACCTGAGAGGTCTGTCAGGCAGAGTATTCAATAATTAAAAGTTTAAACTGCCAATAATAAATGTCAGATGAATGCCTGGAGGTTCTTCTAGATCAAGCAGTACTACATTCAATCATCTTAGTGATTATCAAACAGCTTTATTAAAAGAACCACAGTACATTTTTCCCTTTCCATACAGTGTTTCTGCTTGCCTCTCTCCCTACCACTGGGTGTTTTATTGTCCCCCAATAGGGGTCAGCTGGGTCCTCTTCCTGAGCGGTTACAGTTAATTCAGGTGGTTCAAATGATGCTTTTCCAAGTGCTTCACCACACATTTGTCAATACTAAATTTCTCCTGCCATCATGTTGTCTGTTCACTTCGCTTTGTTAGTTTGCAAAGGTCGCGTATCCCGAGCCTGTGAACAATGATCTGTAAATCACTGCAGGCTCCTCAGATCCTTCTGGCAATTTACACTAGTGGAAGGTAGTCAGGACAACTGCCCAGCAACTGCTGAATTATAGGGCCCAATTTCTTTTCTTTTGCACCTTCTAATTGAATATAGATCCTGAAATGGTTCACCCTTCAAAGAACCTTTTCTGTCTTAAACATGAGGGTTCACATATACTGACATTGCCGGTGCTCACAGCACCGTTTTTGTGCTTCCTAGGGAATTTCCTTATTTTCTGCCATTTTGTTCACTTTGTCCATGTTCCAATGTTTAGGAGGTATTATCGTGCTCCTTGAGACAGCAGAACACAGCAGTCAAACACTGAAGATCAACCCGGCCATATCACAAAGCATTCACAGAATCACAGAATAGTTAGGGTTGGCAAGGACCTTAAGATCATCCAGTTCCAACCCCCCTGCCTTGGGCAGGGACACCTCACACTAAACCATGTCACCCAAGGCTCTGTCCAGCCTGGCCTTGAACACCACCAGGGATGGAGCATTCACAACTTCCCTGGGCAACCCATTCCAGTGCCTCACCACCCTCATAGTAAAGAACTTCCTCCTCATATCCAATCTAAACTTCCTCTGTTTAAGTTTTAACCCATTACACCTTGTCCCATCAGTACATTCCCTAATGAAGAGTCCCTCCCCAGCATCCTTATAGGCCCCCTTCAGATACTGGAAGGCTGCTATGAGGTCTCCACGCAGCCTTCTCTTCTCCAAGCTGAACAGCCCCAACTTCCTCAGCCTGTCTTCATACAGGAGGTGCTCCAGTCCCCTGATCATCCTCGTGGCCCTTCTCTGGACTTGTTCCAACAGTTCCATGTCCTTTTTATGTTGAGGACACCAGAACTGCACACAATACTCCAGGTGAGGTCTCCCAAGAGCAGAGTAGAGGGGCAGGATCACCTCCTTCGACCTGCTGGTCACGCTCCTTTTGATGCAGCCCAGGATACGGTTGGCTTTCTGGGCTGTGAGCGCACACTGGAGCCAGCTCATGTTCATTTTCTCATCAACCAACACCCCAAATCCTTCTCCACAGGGCTGTTCTGAATCTCTTCTCTGCCCAACCTGTAGCTCTGCCTGGGATTGCTCTGACCCAGGTGTAGGATCTTGCACTTGAGTGGTTAAACTTCATGAGGTTGGCATCAGCCCACCTCACAAGCATGTCAAGGTCCCTCTGGATGGCATTCCTTCCCTCCAGCGTATCAACTGAACCACACAGCTTGGTGTCATCAGCAAATTAAACTTACTTGTGTCTGTATAATGTCATAATGAAAATGTCATACTTGTGTCTGTATAATGAAAAGCATATGATTTTCATTACACACACAGGTGAGGTGATAACATTTCTATACCGATAAATTAAAATAACTTTACTTATCCTATGACATTAATACAGGAAGATACCAACTGTGAAAAGCATCAGGCATCATGTGTATGCGGACCAAATCAATGCTGTGAGGATTGCAGAGGGGTGTGAAGCTTCCCCTACAGGCAGCTCCTGCATGTGCTCCTGTTCTAGTTTGGAGAATTGCATCGTATTTAGAAAAGGAAGGCAAAGGAAAACCCCTCAGTGTTCATTACAGGTTTCATAACAAACAACAGCAACAATAATGAAATGCTAGGTTTCCTTGACCTGAGCAAAGGGCAGGAAGATGGAAGAGCAATTGCAAGAAAGGTATTTTCAAGAATCCTGTGCCCTTTGTTTTGTTTCTCCAGCACTGTTTGACAACCTGTGATGAAGGAGCTACCTGTTCAAGCCGGAAGCATGTTCCCAGCCTGTTATATTGGTGATAAATTATAACTGCTTCCTAAGTTGCTATGGGCACTCTTGCTAAGAAACTTGAAGTAATTTTTGCAATACTTCAAGCTTTCAGACTTTAACAAATGACTGTTTGAGGGAATATGAGAGCACTGCACCTCTCTGTTAGGGGATTAAGAAAACAAAAGTAATCCAAATAAACCTTGGGGAGGAGAAGGGGGAAGCCAAGCTGAAGAATGAATGTCACTTCTATTGAACTGGCAGGCAGACTGTGAAATCCCACCTGAGGAGCAGGCAAGACACAGCTTTTCTGCTTTACTGCATTCAAATCCTGCAAGAATAAATCAGCTGTGCTTAAAGTGACACAGAGCAAGCATGAGTGCTGCATGCTGTGCTGGATCAATTACTGAAGCCATGAATTCCTCTTCACTTTGTGTCAGGGTAAGGTTTTTCAGTGCGTTTCTTTAACATGTCTTCTCTGTGAACAGCTGAAGGGCTTTATTTTGAAAATCATTTACGTGCTGTAAATGTCAGTAGTTTTGATTCTGTGAGAAAAACTCCCTTAGCTATGCTCACTCAGTAACAAGTAAGTAGTTTTTGAGCACTGTTACTAAATTATGAACTTACATGGACTACACTGATCAATGCATAATATAGCACAGTCAGTGTTTCTGAAAAATGGTGGTTTAATGCATTGCTCGTGCTTGGATTTCAAAGTTAAACTTTATCATGATAAGTACTTCTACAACAGTAAACCAAGGAAAATAATTAGCCCCCTAAAACTTGCCTGGAACTGCTGCCTATCCCGTTTTAAATCTGGGGCATGTATGTATTGCATATGGCATCACACTGGCACATCATTCCCCCCCATTCCATGCAATGTTACAAACAGCTGAGGAGCTCGCTCTTCTCTTCCACCAGTAAGTAACATCTCAATGAACAACTTTTTATCCATTTATTCATGTTCAACGCACTTTCATCCATGTTGTTCTTTTTAGGCTTCCTAAACACAAGATTTTCTTTTTACTCAAACCAACCCTAGAATCTGGAAGTAATGGTTTTCTCCCTGAAATGCAACTGAACTGAGAACTCTCTAACATTCCTGCTTTTACAAAGCAAGATCTTATTGATTATATTCTCTTTTTGCTATGTTACCAGGTTAAACCCTCACAGCTCCAAATTGGTTCCGAAAAAGCCTCATAATTATTCATAGAAAAGAAGGTATGCAGCCCGCAAAATTATTCCAAAAATTCAAGGGCCACAAGCTCAGTCTCTGCTGTTTATTTACCCTGAGCTGCCACTACCACAGGGATCCTGAAATACACTGCCCTCTCAGCATCATACGTAAACCCAAACCCTAGCTAATGAATGTCTATGGGCATTTTGAAGTTACTGCTTCCCTTCATTCTCCACAAGTTGCTGTGTCAGCTGCGGTGACAAAAATGAAGCTGTCTGGTACCGGGCAGAGCCGAAGCCTGGGGCAGGAAACCCCCATCTCGGGCAGTTCCAAGCCCCGTTGTGATTCCCGAAGAGCCCCGACTATAATCCCCTGCCCCCCTCACCGCGGGGATGATCCAGAGGGAAACGGAGCTCCCCGAAGCGCTTCACCGGCCTCCACTGAGGCAGCGAACAGAGGGAGCTCGGGGCGCCGAGACCGCCGCTAACCCGTACGGCTAGCGGCAACACAGCGGCTGTTACTGCGCAGGCGTTGCCGGGCATCGGCGCTCGGCACTCGGCACATCGATCGCTGCGGGAGCGGCTTTGCCGCCTGCGTCGCCGTTACGCGGGGCGGGAGGGGACGGGACAGGACAGGAGAGGCCGGCCGCCATCGCGGCGGGAAGAGGTAAGCGGTGTAGGGTTCTCGGGCTGCTGGGAGGAAGAAAGGAGGATGTGGGGTACGGCGGGATGCCGCGGGGCTGCCTTCAGAGCGCCCGTCCCGCCGTCCTTGGGACCGGCCCGCGCGGGGAGGGTGGATATGGAGCGTGCATGTGGCCCAAGCCGCACCTCGGCTGCCAGTAACGGGTCCCACGTGTGCTCTGCCCGCAGGCAGGTGTGCAGCCGCCGCCGAGGATGGACATCAGGCCGAACCACACCATCTACATCAACAACATCAACGATAAGATTAAGAAAGAAGGTATGGGGCCCGTGACTCATCTCTGGGAAGCACCAGGCACTCCGGCAGTGAGGTGCCGGGCAGGCGGCGGGTGTGAACCGAGCTTTCAGCAAACGGCTGCTTCCATCGAAGCTGCGGCTAAAGTCAGAAAATGCAGCACAACTTTTAGGCTGCTTGTAAGCAGAGACCTTGTTTCTAAGGCAGCTTCTCGTTGCCTCCCTGCTGCATTTGTGTAACTAACTGCACAGGCCAGGTTTGCTTCTCAGTGAATGACCAATGAGAATATCTGATGGATGCTAATAGGGGTGTTGGCATGTGTTTTGGTGGCCTTTGCAGTCCCCTCTTGCTGTGGTGTGGGGACATCTGTGAGCTCCTCATTTGTTCAATCCTACGCAGAAGTGGTGGACATGGCATGGGCAAGCCTGCTTTGTGTTCTTGCATTGGAGATGCTGCCTTGCAGTTGGTGCAGTGCACTCCAGGGAGATGGCTTCGTGCCGAGGAACTTCAGCACTTCACAGTGTGCTGGAAATAAAATTCTTGCCCTTACCTGGCTGTGTCTTCAGTGTGTAGAACCACCCACTTTATGCTTATGCTTAGTTTACAATCTAAGGTGATTGTGGGTACAGTCACAGTAGTTTATTTGTTACTGTTTGTGAGCAGAGTGCTGGAATCAAATTAGCACTACTTAAGCATTGCTTCAGGAAGCTCTGAAAGTGCAAACAGCTTTACTGGGAAATTATTTCTTAACTTGGCAAGATGGTTTTACTAAGTAACTTAGGGCTTTGTTCTTTGTAGCATGTTAAGCGTCCTATAAACTAGAATGTCTCCTTTATGACTCAGTGGGCTTATACTTTTTAAATAGAGGGTTTCCAATTACTTATGAAGCTTACAGATTTGATTTTTTAAATACAGGTTTAGAAGTTATTTTTAAGGAAAGTGTTTCAATAAAAAAGCTTAAAAATAGAGCAGTTTGGTTGGTCAGGAGCAGCTGGAGGAAGTGACAGTGGGCTGGTATTACCAGCTAATTATTACACGTTACTATTGGTAATAGGGGTTATAACCAGTAAATAAGAGAGTGTTCGTATGTTGCTGAAGTATTTCAGATGCTAAGATTTGTGAGGTAGAATGATTACACAATACAGATCATTTATTTATGATTCTATGGTTTAGTTTGATTGGGTAAGATTAAGGTTTTATTTGGTGTGTAGTCAGGTGATTTTAAATAATGAAAATAAATCCATTGCAGCTGTAAGGTACAGTGGGCTCATACAAGAACACACTCGGATACAGACTGAAAAAACACTTCATGTGTGTGAGAGAACTGGTTAAACAGTTACAAACAAAATTTCCAAATTAAATTAGCCTTAAAGTAGTTATTATTTTGCTGTGGTCTCAAGTCATACCTCTTTAGTACTGCATGTTATGGTATTGATTTTCTGATCAGCCTTTCATGGCTGTCATACATCATGCTTGAATATGTGAGTGTGTGTACATATATGTACATGAAAAAAAATATATATATACTCTTGTGTAATTGTTACTCTTAGAATGTAGAATGGACGGCAGTACAGCTTTTTCACTGCATTAATATTTGAGATGTGAAACCAAGTGTTATACGCTAACTTACAAAAACTGGGCAAATAAACTTGGACTCATGCAACAGTTTAGACAAAACTCGCGTAACGTATCGCTGTGTGAGCTAAAGCTGCCAAAAAACATTGCTGAAGGACAGCAAACTCTGTGGAGGTGGACACTTCCATGTAACCTGTTATAATCTAATTTTTTTTTTCATATGGTCAACAGAACTGAAGAGGTCTCTGTATGCGTTATTCTCACAGTTTGGCCATGTGGTTGACATTGTGGCTTTAAAGACTATGAAGATGAGAGGACAGGCTTTTGTTATATTTAAAGAACTTGGATCATCTACCAATGCTTTGAGACAACTACAAGGCTTTCCATTTTATGGAAAGCCAATGGTAAGTTATTTCGTTAGCTTTTTGAAGATTAAAGAAGTGCTGTGCTATGATACCAGGGTGGTGAGGCACTGGAACAGTGTGAAAGAATTTATCAAAGAAGTGATAAATGCTCTATCCCTGGCAGTGCTCAAGGCCAGGTTGGACAGAACCTTGGATGACGTGGTCTAGGGGGCTGGAACTAGGTGGTCTTAAGGTCCTTTCCAACCCAAACCATTTCTGTGATTGTATGATAAATTGTTTTGGCACTTATGCCTTGCGTGTTAACCATCATTGTGTACTTGTACTGTTATTCAGTCGTGTCCTGTCTTGTCTTGATGAATACATGCAACCTAGAGGGATGCTGGAGAGGCTGTAATTAAAACAAAGGGGTTAAACTTTGCATTTAGGTTTCCTAAATGATGGCTGCATGTTTTTCTTTGCCAGATTAAAGCTGTGAACATCTTAAATACTTACATTTTATTTATCATGATAATGATCATGATAAAACATTTATTTTGTTGAACCAATCAAATTAATTCAGTAATATTATTAAATAACAAATAATTAATTAATACTAAAAAATAAAATAATGAAACTCTAAGCATCCAATCTACAGTAAGCTTGGTTACTATTTCATTTGTAATAAATAGAATATAATGCTTCCTTTTTGAGGTAACAGTGAGTAGGGTGAAAGAAGTTTTACTTTCCAGATGTGACCAGTGATTTATTTTTGTGAATCAATGGCTAGTTCAGTGTGTGTATGCATCACATCACCAAACCAAGTAACTGAATTTCAGTATAACTTGAGTGAAGCAAATTCACTGGTGGTTGATAGAATGTGATTTAATAATGTACTTGGTAACGTGTAGAATAGCGCAAGGATTGACATGTCATTGTTGCCTGCTTGGATAACTAGGCATCTTTTAACTCTGCAACTATTTGTGAGGCATAACGATACATGAAGTGTATATTACTGCTGGCTTTCAGATCATGGCTTTGATCATTTAGGAGAGCACAGACAGTTTGTGTTGCTGAGCCACAAGTTTTTTTTCATTAACACTTTCAGATTCCCCACTAAAATCCTTGATGAGGACTTGTGCAAGCTCAGTTCTGTCATTTACCCTTATCGAGGTTTGAACTCAGTAAAACGCAATAGGAAATAAAAAGATTAAGGCTTTATAACCTTTCAGGTGTACATCCCTCTGAAAATTGCCTGCAGTGTGCATGCTTTGTCTAAGCAAAAAGCATTTTAAAAAATACCTTCAACTACTGTATAATTTTGTATTAAGTCTCACAGTCTCTGACAGTAAAAGTAATAGGATTGTGTGTGTATGTAATACTGCACATGAGTATACTCATAGCTGCCTCTGCATTCCCCGACTACTGCATTGGGCAGCCTCTGTCAGAAAACCAGCACCAATGTGCTGCTGACACGATCTATGCAACTGGTTTGGACTAAGGCATGTACTCGCCTCTTTATTTAAGATGTCTGAGTTTTGCTGAACTCTGAGATCTGAGAAATCACTGTAAAGTTTTAACCCTTAAAATGGGGTTAAAAAGTCCTCCTAGGGTTTTTAATAGAAGATAGTTCAAATTTTGTCACATCCTCACATCACTTCTTACATCTCTTACCTTGACAGGTGCTAAAAAAACACTGTTAGATGAATTGAGTTCTGATTTCAGTGAGTTAAAATTAGTAATTTCCATCTTAAGGGGTTTTTTGAGTTCCATAGTTATGTTCAGAATTAATCATGAGGATTAGATACTCTAAGCATATCTACAGTTTATAGCAATATTTTTAATAATATAAGAAATTTTGGGGAAAAAATGTAAATGCACAGAATGCAGTTAACGAAAATGGTATAAAATAATCAGTATCGTTAACTGCATATGTCTTGTTCTGTTTTGTTTGTGGTGTTTTTCCTTTTTTAAAAGCGGATTCAGTATGCAAAAACAGACTCTGATATCATCTCTAAAATGCGTGGTACTTTTGCTGATAAGGAAAAAAGGAAGGAAAAGAAGAAGGCCAAATCTCTGGAGCAGTCAGCAAATGCACCAAATAAAAAGATTATCCAGGTAAGCTGCTTCTTTGGTTAAAAAAGAAAAACATGCAGGGTAATTATTTTAATTTAATTTTTTTCTCTTATGTGTTGTTTTGTTTTGGGGTTTTTTTGTTGGTTTTTTTTTTTTTAGGACTAAGTATTGTCTTTTGGTACATCTCAATTCCCTAAGTTGTGGTCTATTGATATCTAGTACTCTTGTGCACTCATTAAAAGTTAAGGAGAGGCAGCTGATGATAGTCTTTCCTGCTGTTTATTCCCCCCTCCTTTCCTATTACTAGATGAAAATAAAGATGTAGGGCAAAGGTACAATAAACCAAAAGAGGAGCTAACCTCTTTATAGAAGAGGTAAAAAAGGAGGGCTGTGTACTTCTTTAATACCAGCTTCAAGTACTCAAACAGCTTTTCCCTTCAGTATTTTAGTGCCCTGTTTGCTCTATAAGCCCTGAATGGTAAATGGGAACAAGATAACTATCATAGAATCATAGAAAGGTCAGAGTTGGAAAGGACCCTGTGATCATCTAGTTCCAGCTCCCCTGCCATGGGCAGTTTAATGAAGAGGGATTGGCTTGAAATATATCTCCACTAAGGGTTGGCCTGGCCTAAACTAATAACATTTAGTAATTTATGTGCTGAAGTATAGCAGAAAATAGTCAGGCACAGAGTTTGAATATTGTGTTACTTAACTGCCTTTCCTGTTAAGTCACAAACTGGTATCGAGAAGAGATAAGAGTGTTCATAGAAAGCAACATTTTCTAGATAGAATTTTTCAGGTTTTATTAAAAAGTCAAATCATAATATAGAAATCTCTTAAGAAGAAATATCTACTAGTAGCTAGTAGTAATAGTAATGGCTTCAGTTCTCCTTGCTAAAACAGAGTCTGTGCTGGAAACACCTATTTTTCTCTTGTTAGGTATGTCCTGTCTAGGCCTTCATTTCCAAAACTACTTACTTCCTGTCTATTAAAAATATTATAATGTGGAGAAATAGTGATTTTCTGTATCTGATGACTTGGCCATTACTTATATCAGCTACTACTGATGGTTTGTTTATTTTGATTACCTGGCTTTAGAGTCCAGCAAAATTCATGAACTATATGTTTACTGTCAGGAATCTCATAAACAACAAACATTCCTTGGATTGTGGCTTAAAAAAACCTTAACATACTTCTTGAGTTGTTCAGAAACATGGTGATATGTGCTTATATATTTCTAACTGAACACCTTTGTAAAACTATTTTGTACTTATTCACTAGGGGGCAACACAGAATTCAGCCAGTGCCCCAGGGACTGCAGCACAGAATCAGCAGGTAATGCTTTTTGTGTGTGTGTGAATAAGAGCACTAATGTGTAAAATTATTTTATTCTCAATCAGTAATAGTTTTACACAAACTCGGGAATCTATTTTACAGCTTTCTTTTTGTTCTGAGACATTTGCCTACCAGCCAAATCATAGCAAATAGGCAAAAGAAATTCCACTTTTACTGCCTCTGGCTGACATAAAATAAGAACCTGCAGTTTCTAATTATTATACAGAAAACTGCATTATTAACAAATCCCACTTAATTCTTAAAATTTGGACTGTCCTTAGTATCAGTTGAAGGATACTTAGGTTTGGGGTTTTCTTTGTTGTTAAATTCCCTTTCAATTATTTTGTTCTAGTAGTACAAAAGAAGGAAGAATGCACAGGGTGCCAGAATATCTATATAAAAGCTTCCTTTCAGGAGTTTGAGGGTCCTCTGCTCACTTGTTTCTTACAAGTGTCTTATTTTCCAAAGGATTGAGTAGAGATGTAGCAACAACTCCCTCTGCTTCACTCATCTTGTCTGCTGAGTGACCTTCTAAATGATTGACATGTGTTAGAAGTAGAGGTAGTAAAGAGGCAAGATGTGCACTAGAGCAAATATTATGGAAGAGTATCTTTGCCTGCCCTGCATCTCTTTCTTGAATACTGTCATTGAGAAGTGCATGCATAATCCACAGGGGAAACATCTTGCTTCCAGTCTGGGTTTTCATCTGGATATTATTTGTACCAAGGCATAATATGTGTATGTCAGTTTGCATCAAAGCACAACCCTGAGTAGGTTATTTGTTTGAAGTTCAGAAGTTTATTTTCTAATGGCACTGCCTGGAACACTTCCATCAGCTGAAGGAAATTATTGTGCTGAAGCATTAACTTTGGCACTGTTATCAGAACGTTTGAAGTTGTGGTGTCCTGTTTCTTTTTATTTTTGTAATCTCCTCGATGACTTGGGGAGATTCTAGTCTTTCAGTTCAGTGTCAGCAAACTGACTACTCAGCCTTGTGTCTGGTGGGCTGCTATGTATTCATGTTAGCAGGCAAATCTCTCAAAGACTCTAGGACTTTAAATCTAATGGGGTTTCTAATTAATAAATTCAAATAGAGCACTGTAGTAAAACCATATGGGTTTTGTGGGCTTCAGTTGCCAAAAAACATTCAGTATTTCAGGACTACTGCAGGTGAGCAGGGTATTTATCGTGGCATTTATCCCACTGCTCTTTTGGAAGGATGCAAGTCTTTCAGAGGTTCTTCTGCTGCCATGCAGGTGTCTTGGACAGCACTACAGCCAGAACTTGGGCACCTGGGTCCCACCCTTGACAGTGCTGAGAGTACTGCAGTATCAGCTGTTGACAGTCTAAATGTGACATCTAAGACACTGTGGTACTATGATTTTTGTGGAAATAAGAGCCTCTGCAAATGAGTATATCCTTGTAACAGAACCAAGGGGCTCTGTCTGCATATTGCATGAAGGTACACTGAAGTCCAGCAAGCAGTGTTATGAGCAATACTTACGGATATGAGAGCCTTGGTTCAAATAATCATGGAGACAGATGCAGAGGAACAGATAGTTGTGTGTAATCTTCTGAGCTTTGATCTTCTGTTGTTGCAGGTGCCTGACAACCCACCCAACTATATCCTTTTCCTTAATAACTTGCCTGAGGAAACAAATGAGATGATGCTGTCCATGTTATTCAATCAGTAAGTTTTGAATAAAAGCACTTCTTCGAATTTTTACCTGTATGCTTTTTCTCAGTTGACAAGCTGACTTTTTAGAAGTAAGAGTTTCTTCTGAAGGTATTTCGGTTCTTTGTCTTACTGCCAGGTTTACAGATGTCAGTTCTGATGACTTTGTTCAGAAAGCAAATCTGATTTTTTATTTATTTTTTTTTTTTTGTAGCTGGTTTTGATTGTGTAAGTTATCTGCCATCAGTCTGCACTAGATTTAATCTGGCGACTGCAATATTAAAGACTTTACAACAGCAGGAGCAGTTTTAAAACTAGCTTTAGTTGCTTCCGTATGCGCACAAGACTGATTAAATTGCTTCCAGATAATGATCCTTAATTGAGGCATGGTTCTAAGACTGGACATGTAAAACCCTTCAATTTAAGACTTTCACTAATAGTTAACTATTATACTAGGAGATGCTTACGATAAGGTCTTACAGCTACTGATAAGAGATGTATTATCAAACTAGGAAATATTATCTGACTCTTTGACCTTATTTTAAAGGTTTCCTGGATTCAAAGAGGTTCGCTTAGTGCCTGGGCGCCACGACATTGCATTTGTGGAGTTTGAAAATGAGAATCAAGCAGGAGCTGCTCGAGATGCTCTCCAGGGATTCAAGATTACTCCATCTCATGCCATGAAAATCACTTATGCAAAGAAATAACCGGATGCTCCTATAAAGGAATTGTGTAGATAGTTGTTTTTTTTTTTTAATGCAGTGATACTTTACTCTGTTTGTAAGTTTATTGTTCTCTGCAAAAACTTAAGACTTGTGTACGATTGCCACAACAGCCAGGAGAGACGTTGGATTTCCACAGGTCTACTGGATAGTAAATGTTTGCGTTGAAATACTGATTTTTATAAAATAAATGAAGTTTATGCTGTTCTCAAGCCATGTTGTTCCTCAAATCTGTCTTACTATTGATCTGTTAGGCTTGCATGGCTTACTCAGTATATAGGCTTAACTACTTTTAAGGTGACACTCATTTCTCAGAAGTAAGTGCTGGAAAAATAGCTGTCTCTGCAGAGCAAAATGCGTGAGCAGGAATGCTAAATGCCACCATATTGAGAATAAACGCAATACTCAATCTTCAGCCTCATTACCAAGGGGGCAGCTGCTTTTCAGCAACAATAATTTTGCCACTTGAGAAAAACAGCTTATCATTAGTAGACTCTTTTTTTTCTAGGTGTGGGTAGAAATTGATCACAGCACTCCTTGACAGCAGTGTTGTTTAACTTGGTTTTGTCTTCATAATGTTGGCTGGTAGTAGAAACCAACAAAGAAAAAGTTCATCTGTTGTTTTCCCTTCTGCACTTTCCAGCTCATTAATGTTTTAGGATGAGCTCTCTGGCTCCTTACAAAGACAACACAGATGAGCCTGATGGTCTGTTTCTAGACAGGTTTTTCAAAATACATATCCTAATGCTTCTGGGTTTGTTGAGGGGTTTTTTGTTTTGTTTTGTTTTGTTTTTTAATTGCTTGGTTGATTTGGGGTGTTCTTTGGGTTTTTTTTCTCCATATGTCAAAAACCTTTACAGGCCTTGTGTAACATGAAATACACCAACTGACCAAGAAGGCAAATGGTGTCCTGGGCTGCACTGAGAAGAGCACAGGGAGCAGGTTAAAGGAGGTGAACCTCCCCCTCTAATCTGCCTGGGTGAGGCCTCACCTGGAGTATTGTGTACAGGTCTGGGCTCCCTGGTACAAGGGAAACATGGAGTTCCAGTGTATGGCTACTAAAATTACTAAGGATCTGGATCATCTCTCATACGAGGAAAGGCTGAGGGGGCTGGGCTTGTCCAGTGCAGAGAAGGCTCAGGGGGGATTTGATTAGTGTGTATAAATAGCTGAAGGGAGGGTGTGAACTGGATGGGACCAGATTCTTCTGGGTGGTATCAGGCAATAGGATGAAAGGCAATGGGCATCATCAACTAATAAAAACTTCAAGCAAGCACGATAGCTTTTATATAAAATCTTGGTATACTTCGTAGTTCTGGCACAGTCATTTCATTTCTGAGCAAGTACTATATGATCTTTAAATATAAAACTAGCTCCATAAACCACCTTTTTTGCACAAGACCTGAAAAATCAAAATCTCATCTGCTCCTAGAGTACATTTCAGGATGCTGCCCCTTCCACAGTCATCTCAATTACTGTCCTGCATATATTTTTCATTCTTTTTAGTGGGTTTTTGGGGGTGTTTTGTTTGTTGTGGTTTTTTTTTTTGGGGGGGGGGGGATTTCACAAGTATTCTAATAATAAGTGAGAATGGTTTCCATGTTCTTGTAAGGGAGCAAAAGTGACTGTTATTCCATCATGAACCTTAATTTTTTTTTTTTTACAGTCATACTTTCATAGGTATTATGCAGTCCTTGCATCCCATTAGTCTGTGTACATGAGACTGCCATTGCATACCACTGATCTTCCCCTGTACTCCCTTGGAAGAAGCGTTTGTGTGGAGCTGTCTGCAGAGGAGGTTAGACACTGCATGAGGGAGGCTGGAGGAAGGAGTAATGGGCTGAAAGATCAGAGAAGATTGTAGTGAAGTCAGCTGTAATAGAAAGGTGATGCTAGAAATTGCAAGATGCTCTTTCTTTTAAAGAGTGTGGGATTTCTCATAGCACTTGACAGCTGCTTCTGTTCTGCTGAGAACTGAAAGCTGGTACAGCCAGCAGCTTTTTGGGCTGCCTTGTGAATCAGAATGGAAGCACTGGTACTCTGGAGTGCCATTTGGGGAATCTCCAAGTGTGCTTTTGGTCACTTTTAAGGATTGATTCAGACCAACCTTCTGTAACTCAACAGCAGTGATGTGCATTGCTTACAGTGCAGTAACTCTAGCAGTGGTTCCTTGTGTGCATTTTTTATTCTAATTAAAATACTCTCTACAAGTCTTGCCTCACATAAGTTAGGACAAGGTTTTGGGAAGTTAGATGAATTCTAGATGTCCTCTCCAAGGTGTAAAGAGGGCCTTTTAAGTCAGCCTGTGGCACTGTATGTTGTCCAGCATCTTGCATCTGCAAACTCTCCACTGAGCTCAGTGAAATGTCTGCTGTCCTGGCTTGACCTCTGTGTTTTGCTCTCATGTCTCCCCGTGGAAGGGATCTTGCCTAGACAAGTATGTAGTGCTTGGCCTCCTGCATTTCAAATTTAAATTGCTGACCTGCAAAGCCTTTTTACTGGGTTTCAACTCCCTAATGCTCTGCTTACATTTGCAATTGGTTTGTTTGCATCCATGCAGACAAGGGAATCTCTGCCACAGGGTTAACAGTCCAGTGAAGATTACACCTGTCAGTAAGCATTTGTGAAAATGAGTATCTTGAGGATTTGGAAGGATGTAATTTCCTTTGCTGCTTACCAGGGTCTGACTTAATTCTCAAACTTGGCTTAAGATTAAGACTATGGACAACTACAGGAAGGCTTAAAACATTTAAGTAATACAGTTGCTGATTGAAATGTTAATGCACAATGGCTCTGGGAGGGGATTCAGTTTTGTGATTGGACCCTGAGGTCTTCCTCCTGCCTGCAGCTGCTCTGGTGGGGCGGAATGTCACCACAGCCCCTTCCCATTGGCCTGGTGTGTTTGTCCAGGTGTCTGCCTCTTCCATAAAAGACAGATTGCTGCATCCCGTGTGCATTCTGCAATCACTGCAGCAAAAAAAAAATGACACAAAGTGTCTATTTGGTTGTTTTACTTCTGTGTCTTGGATTAATGTATCCTCTTGTAACTGGGATTTTTATGGACAAGCTTGCCAGCCAGAAGCTGTGTGCTGATGATGACTGTGTCTGTAAGTAATTTTGCTTTACTTTTGAGGACAAAGCAGTCTCAAAAATGACTGTGGAGGTTGGATGCAGTAGTCCGAGGGAAAACTATGGTTAACAGTTATTTAACTATGTTATGTTTGCATTGTTTAGTCTACTTTAAAAGCAGAGTGGTAGGGTTTATTAAATGCAGTTTTGCTGCAAAAAGGGCTCTGTAGAGGGCATTTTTCACTCAGGTGTAAGGTAAGTGTAAAGAGAAGGATTTTAACTTCCGCTGTCATGAAATGGCACATTTTTAAGCCGCTACTTTGCTTATTGGAGAACAGAAAAATGAACAGAAAAGTATCTTGAAGACTTTTATTAATTTCAGGAAAACCTACTTTTACCTGTAGAAATAGCTTTACATGTGCACACAAGAACACACACATACTTACAGTTCTCTCTCTAAAAGTATATATGTTTTTAAATTTGTCCATCTCATTCTTTTTTTATGTTTTTTTTTTCCTAGACACCATTTCCCTTGCGAGAGCAAAAGAGGATTATAATGCTCCAGACTGCAGATTCATTAATATCAAAAAAGGGCAGTTGATTTATGTTTACTCAAAACTAGTAAAAGAAAAAGACTCCGGAGAATTCTGGGCTGGAAGTGTAAGAGGAGATTCTTGTGTATATGAACAAACCAGAAATAGATTAACATGTATTTCTGTCAAGAAATGGATTCTAATGCTGAGCGATTGTGGGTTTTAAAGCAGCAACTTAGTCTTCAAAGGGAATGTTTAAAATTAAAGTGATTGAGGAGTCTTGAGGGATTTGGGGGGGGGGGGGAGGGGGGGGAATGTTTGTTTTTTTTAATGAAATATCTTCAATAGCTATATGGTAATTATGAGCTGAACCTTAACAGAAGGGCTCCACAGTTCCTTTCTGTAGCAGCTGAAACTATGGAGGAAAAAGCTTTTATCACAGTTGGTCATAAAACTTTTAAATTTAAGGGAAGCAAAGATAAATATTAGCTGTACTGATTAAAAAAAAAAAGATAAACTATAGATGGCATTAATTTCCTTCAAAAAATGCATGCCTGGATCAGAACTTTTGTTAATGGTTCCTTTAATGTGCTAGCTAATTGGAACCTAGAAAATCTAAAACCAGAGTAAGAAACACTATTAGTAACTGCCTTTGACTAAATTATGAACTAGCTCAAACCAGATGAGGACTGTTTTAAGGTACCTAATTATACATCTCCTTGCTTGAAGGTTTATGGAGAACAGTATGAAGACCATATGGGGACAGTTGGTTATTTCCCTAGCAGTTTAGTCTCAGAGCAACATGTCTATCAAGAAGCAAATAAGACTGTTCCTACAACGGTAAGGAATTTGCAAAAGCCCAGCTGGCTACATAATTATACTTGGCTGTGTAATGCTAATTCGCTGTAAAAACAAATCATAATGGTGGCAGATGATTGTAGCGTATCACAGATGCTTAGGGATCCACTTTTTGGGCCTTTATACAGGCAAATAGCCTCAGTAAAATCCCTAACATAAGCTCTGACATTGCAGATGTTACAAATGCTGCATTAAGGCCTTGATCCTTTTAGAGTGCCTATTGACTGGAATAGTATTCGTTCAAGGCCACGTAAGTTTTACCCAAAACTTTCTTGTTTAGAATTTGGATATTGTGGCATACTTCAGTAACATATACAACTGCTCTATTAATTGTATATATAGATGGACACTGTTATATAGAACTTCTGATTTACTGAAAGCACACTTGTTTTCTCCTAACACAGTTACTGGTATGTTAGAAAGCTGAATTAAAAGACTTTTGGAAACACATTAGTGTTCTGTAAGTAGACTATTTCTGAAAGGATGATCACCCCTCATTATATCCAGTAGCGTCTTGTGCACCAGACAATTTGTAGTCTGAAACACTTCATAGAGGAGTGGAAGAGGGAGGGTCCTTTCTCAGAGGCTGGTATGGTTTGGCTTACAATCAATGCGTACTGGTAGCTTATTTCTATGCTTCAAAAGAAATTGAGTGGTAGGTTTACAGCGATTACCTTCATCAATATTGAATATTTACCCATTTTGAAGCATATGGCAAAATATGATTAGTGTGTCAATCTTAAAATCGTATC